GGGGGGGGGTTGGGCACTTTCGGTTGATGAGTTAAGGCGGGGGAAGGTGGTTAATGAAGGGCTTAGGACCTGGGATTGCCGTTGCTTTTGCAAGCTCTTTTCTTATGGATCCTACTCCAAAACTAAACCCAAAACTAAACCTTAAACCCTAAACCCTAAAGCCCGACAAGCCTACACTTTCAACGGCAGTCTTGAACCCTACGCCGAAAGCCATTTAAACCCTAAACCCCTACAAGCCCTAAACCCTAAAACCCCAAAACCCCAAAACCCTATAATACCCTTTAAAGGAAGCCTAGGATCCCTATAGTAGCCCTTTAAAGGGACCCCTAAAACCCCACTTAGCAAGGCGAGCCTCGCTGCGCTTCTGGGCCTCGGCGTCGGTGCCCGCGGTGCCCGCCGTGGCGCCAGAGCTGCCCGGGGGAAGGCTGAGGGGGTTCAGGGTTTTAGGGTTCAGGGTTTAGGGTTTAGGGTTTAGGGCTTTCAGTTTGGGGCTTTCAAGGGTTTAGGGTTCAGGGTTTAGGGCTTTCAGGGGTTAAGCCTTAGGGTTCAGGGGTTCGGGTTTAAGGGTTCAGGGTTCAGGGTTTAAGGAGTTTAAGGGCTTAGGGTTAAGGGTTTAAGGAGTTTGAGGGTTTAGGGTTCAGGGTTTGGGGTTTAGGGCTTTCCGGGGTTTAGGGCTTTCAGGGGTTAAGGTTTCGGGGTTAGGGTTTAAGGGTTTAGGGTTCAGGGGTCATGGTGTAGGGCCGAGGGCTTAAGGTTTACCCGTGGCCCAAAAAGACCTCCTTGTTTAGGTAGCTATATATAGAAGCCGCAGCCATAACACGGAACCCTAAAAGGATAGGTCTTTCCGGCTACAGGGAGGGTTCAGGGTTTAGGTTGTTTTCTGTCAGTGTGCGTCATCCGAGTCTTGGAAGATTTCTCAGATCACAATAAGCTTCCATATGACTCAGCAAGAAACAACAAGATCACAGATAAGAGTGCTAAACCATACATATGGAAAAGTGTGTGTATGTATACAAATACATACATATATTGTTACAAAAACAGCGAACAAAGGGGACTTCTTGCATGTTGGGTGAAGGCCACGACCCGCAACTTCTCCGTGCAGATCCCCGGGTTCTCCTTCGCCCCTGAGACACTCGGACCATGGAACAAATTCGGGGGCCGCTTCGTTGGAGGTGGTTTGTATAGATTCAACAACTTAGTGCAGTGGGTAACCTTTACTTGTTTGGGGGTACTATAGTCTCCGTCTATATAGTCCCAAAGGTTCACCCTTGACACCCATGATACCGGACAAGCAGGACAAGGTTTTGTCAGGTTTCTTGGGCTAGAAAGGAGTCCTGACCGGCTTTCTCAAGGGTTTTAGTGGGGTCCGAATGCTTGTTTTGATGAGTAAGATAGCGGGCCTTCATCATTCGGTTATGATTTTTTGGGGGTATATTATACTGCAGTAATTACAAGGGGCCCCAAAATAGTATTGGTAAAACTATTCAGGCCCCGGTATAACCCACCGTCAAGAAGGAAAGGCCATGGTGTTCAGGAACGCCGTTGCGGTGTAATGTAGAAGCCTAAATCGGTTTAGGGTTCAGGGTTTAGGGTTTTACTGAGGGTTCCTTCCTTATTATAATAATGCTATGAAGGAGCCCGAAACCTTATTCTAGTCATTAAGGCGCCTACACGAGGGGCTTAACGGCTACGTCGTAGTGGGTTTAGGAGTTTCGGTGCTCAGGCCCTGGAATTTAGGAGGTCAGGCCTTTTGGATTTAGGGCTTTGGGTTTAGGGAGTTCAGGCTTTGGGACATGTTTCGGGGTTTCACATGGGCTACCTCGGGCCCTAACATCGCGCTTTTCGAGCTCGTGCCGTCGTCGAGTCGATAGGATCCGTGTGATGATGACGACTTTGCATCTGAGGGACGAGCTCTATTTGTGGTATTCGGTTTAGGGTTTAGGACTGCGCATTGTCGAACTCCGAATTTCTGGAAGTCCCATCGGGCCCTGCCGGATATCAAAGCCCCTATACGAAAACGCTCCAACCAACTAGAAGAAAAGGCTAGCACTCTACGAAAAAGATAGCCGATAGCCCGGCCAAGCCACAAATAGTACGGAAAGAAAGCAACATGAAGTGGCAACAGAGGCAGACAGCAAGAAGACTTCAACCGTAAGCCATACACCCCAAATCCTGCACCCCAGACCCTAAACCCCAATTACATTCTGAGCACTTTCACCCCAAACCCTAAATCCTTTAATTAAATCCCAACACTCACAGCAAGGAAGAGTAGATTTACATTAAAGGCACAAACCCACAAGCAATGAGAATGACCAAACACGCAGACAGGAAGAAGACCTGAACCCTAAACCCGTAAACACCAAAATCCTAAACCCCAAACCCTGAATCCTTAAAGGAATGGTTTTTACATTGTCCGGAAATCCTACACCCCACAGTCGAAGAAAGAAATTTGGAACATCCATTCGGAATCCTAGCACTTCTCATGCTGAATCCATGTTTTCAGCTTTCCGGGGTTCACTGTGAACACTACACCCCAACTACATTTAAACCCTAAACCTTAAAATCCCCAAACCCGCAGAAAGGAGGAATAGTGACATTCTAAGCACTAAACCCCAAACCCCATCTCTCTAAATCCCCAACCCACAGAAAGGGAGAAGACACACAAGCCCTAAACTAGAAGCCTTAAAGTCCTCAGACAGAAAGGAAGAAGATTGACATTCCAAGCGCTAAGCAGAAAGGAAGTAGACCCAAACCTTATCCCTGAACCCTAAACCCTAAGCCCTAAACCCTAAACCCTAAACCTAGGCCCTGAACCCTAAACCCTAAAAGGAAACCTTAAAGGAACCCCTAACCCTAAAAGTCCTCAAGCAGAGAGGAAGAAGACCCAAACCCTAAACCCGTCAGCCCCAAAAATCCTACACCCCCAAGCCCTAGACTGTAAACCTTAAGCCCCTAAACCCTAAACCTTCAAACCCTTAAACCCTGAAAGCCTCAACAGAAAGGAAGCAGATTGCCGTTCTAAGCCCTAAGATCCTCAAAAGAAAGGAAGAAGATTGCCGTTCTAAGCCCTAAAACCTCAACAGAAAAGAAGAAGATTGCCGTTCTAAGCCCTAAAATCCTCCACAGAAAGCAAGAAGTTTGCCATTCTAAGCCCTAAAATCCTCAAAGAAAGGAAGAAGACCGTCATCATCACGGGCGCGTCGTCTGGGCTGGGTTTGGCGGCAGCGAAGGACGCGGAGTGGGGCACGTTTCGGGGTTTGGGGTTTTAGGTTTAGAGGTTGAGGGTTTAGAGGTTTAGGGTTTAAGGTTTCGGCTTCAGGGTTTAGGGTTTGGGGTTTAGGGTTTTGGGTTTCGGCTTCAGGGTTTAGAGGTTTAGGGTTTAGGGGTTTAAGGGTTTAGGGTTTTGGGTTCAGGCTGCAGGGTTTAGGGTTTTGGGTCTGCTGTGGCATAGCGCTTAGGCGATATGTCTTGCGACAAGCTTGTGTCGAGTGCATCGTACTATGGTGTATGCTCCTTTTTCTGGTGGGCCTTTTGGCAAAGAAGTGCTTTGTGGACTTCTGGCACTCCAAACCACTCAATCCAGGCCAGGTGCTGCCCCAAAATGCCTTGTCCCAGATAGGTTTAGTCCATTGAAATGCTTGAAAAACATTTTTCGGCGCGCCAAGAGCACCCTGTTTTGGCTTCTTCGACCCCAAAACACCCCATCTGACTCAGATAGGCTCTCTTGTCCCCAACACCCTCTTTAGCACAGATAGGCAAGTGTTTTGCTTTGGGACCCCGAAAAGACCCTATCTGGCTCAGATGGGCTCGTTGTGCCTTCTCTGGCACCCCAAGCAAACTGCTTGGCCCAGATACTGCCGCCAGCCCCAAACCCACTAATTTCGATTTTCGCCTTTGGTCATTATGGGTCTGGGCTGAGCCAGCGTTGCCGAGGCCTTCAAAACATTTTCAAGAATTGCTACGTAGCCATTGAGTACACTGCTTTGTACATATAAAGCAGCCAGCCGGTGGCACTTCTCCCCCTAAACCCTAAGCCCTGAACCCTGAACCCTAAACCCTAGAGAGCCAGAGACAGAGGAGCTCGCCGCCTCGGGCGACTGGTATGTGATCATGGCGTGCCGGGACTATCAGCGCCTCGGCCACGTAGGATTTAGGGTTTTGGGGTTTAGGGTGTAGGTTTTAGGGTTTTGGGTTTAGGGGTTTGGGGGCTTGGGGTGTAGAGGGCTAAGGGCGTAGAAGGTCTAGGGTTTGGGGTTCATGAAATCTGCGGCTTTCGTAGCTTTCTTTGTTTGCGTGTTTACAGTTATGCGGCTTGTTAGGTTAACGTAAAACATCTTACTTGGACGTTTCATTAGTGTTTCCCGGGCAAACAGAGGGCCTGTGTTTTTTTTGTGTGTGGGGTTGGGCCGAGGTGAGCGCTGCCCATCTCAGAAGCCAAGCCTATGAACAGCAGTCAATCACTGAAGGCTACCCTAAGGCTGACCCTGCACCCTACACAGCCTCCACGACGAAACCTCATATTATAGACTTTTTCGCCTTTCCGCACCCTTCCATCGCAAGCCCTACAACATCAGTAGGCAAAGCCCGAAACTAATTCTGAACCGCATACCTTTTGCAAAAGCCCATGAAACCCTCACGGCACATGCTTAGTTAGCTACTTTGGTGATAAAGCCCAAGAACCCTAAACCCTAAACCCGTGAACCCCAAAACTCTTACACCTCGCTTACACCCCTAAACCCGTAAAGCCGAGGAAGGCAGAGAAAGCTGCAAGGGATGCTGGCATGCTCGAGGATTGCAGACACGGCTTTTCCCAAAAAATATGTACCCACTTGTCAAAGAGGTTTAGGCTTTGACGGATTTATCAGGTGTTCACAGGTTGTTCTAGTTTAGGTTTACTAGGTTTTGGAATCGCAAGGACAGCGCCTTAATAATTGGTAAAGTAAATAGAATATTAAAGTCCGTTTCATTGAAACGTGGCATTAGGCTTCAGTTCTCCAACACTACCCTGTTCACTTCTTGGCAGGTAGTACTCTGTGACGTTTTATGCGTTGAAATCCTTAGGGACTGGCGAAGTGTAGAAATATGGGAGTTTCCGAACATAAGGGGTGCCGGTCCTCATAACCAGGATCCTACTATTATTTGGGGTGCTATATTTGGGTCCCCTAGTTTCGGAAACCCCCATATAAGGAAGGGAGTTCAACGATCTGGCGAGGATGGTGCCTCTTGGGTAACCCTAAACCCTAAACCCTAAACCCTAAACCCTAAACCCTAAACCGCCGGTTGGGTCCTTTGGGGCCTTTCTTGATACCTTCAGTCCTAGACCTTGGGTACTGCCCCCACTCAGTA